ATCACCAGGTAGTGGGACATTGTCGTCCTCCTCCTCGTCTTCGCGCTCCGACTCCCCGCCCAAGTCCTCAGGGCCCGGGTAGTAGAAGGGCGGCGGCGCTTTGACCCCCAATCTCCTGCTGGTTCCCAGCGCAGGCACTTTGGGCCTCGTAGCCGTCGGGGCAGCCACCACCACCAGCATCCGCGTGCGCTCACTGTTCGGGTCCGCTTTTCTCTTCGGCTGCTTGGGTGGCCCGACGGCCTTGGGCAGTCCCAGGGCGCGTCCAGCACTATGTCATAATGGGCCTTGCCCCCTTCGCCAAGCATATCGGCATCCGCGTGTACCCGTTCCAGGTACTAAGAGCGGACCCTGATGCAACCGCTTAGTCGATGAGTGCACCTTGTCCACCAGTGCACGTGTAACCCACATTGTCGGCAACCAAAATGTTTCCCTGCGCCAAGTTGAGCCACCCCTGCTTTCCGAAGGGCTTCAGGCGGGAAGTTCCAATCGCACACGATGGCCCATGGCGTGGATAACGATGACACCAACGACGCCATATGACTCAATTTCTCCACACTGGCTCTTGTAATCCTCAGTCCGTTGTAGAGGTAGCCGCCAAGGATCGCGATGCGCGCGCCCTTCAGGAGTACATGCGTTTCGACCAAGTCTTTGAACAGCACGCCCGTGGTGATGTGCTGGTCCTTCTTGTGTTCGTCGACTCTCTTGCCTGGCAAGTCGTCCATGTTCGAGGCCAGATGTCGTAAGGGCCAAGAAGCACATGTCTTGGATACCCCCCATAGCTACTCCACTTGCCTGCGAAGTGAAATGTGCCGATCAGCACCAGCAGGGCAACCCATGCCCTTGTAGCCCGCTCTATCGAATATCACCAACACATCGTCCGTATCCGACATGTCCATGTGAGTTTCCTGGATGATGATCGTGTCGTAAGGTCACTTCAGTAGCTGCTTTGCCGAGGGGCCCCAAGTCGACATGTTGCGCATGTAAATGTGGGGCTTTACGCCTCCGTCCTCTTGAGGTGGATCCTCTGCCTTCAGCGCTTGCTTCCCAGTCCCGGTATCTGATGCGTGTCCCACGTCAGAGGAAGTGATAGACTGACCCAAGGTGAAAGAAACCCAACCCCAGACCAGGTTAGCCCTATCTTGGGCTAGATCGCCCACATCACTATCCTCGTCACCGTCTGGGAGAGGCCGATCGGGTAGTACTCGATTCCCAGGCAAGCGCCTGAATCGACGCCGCAGATCCCGAAGGTCTTGAAAGTGCCATATGGCAAGCCTACGGTACTGGTCCCAGTCCCTGATACCATTGGGAGTCACACAGAAACATGCTCGATGAGGTTCGGCCCGGATCCGAGCTTCAGCGCGCATTATCTCAGCGATCTCCGCCAACCTCGGGTCATAGAAGTTTTCCAAGTTGATTCGCGTCGCCCTCCGTGAATTGTGCGAAGGGGCCTCGGTGGAGCACGGCACGCACCATTCCTTCAATCCAATATTCGATGCTGTTAAATATTTCTCCTCGGATATTGTGGATCCACCTAGCTGCTGTTGCTGTCATCTCATCGCGAAGCAATCGCCGCTCCCGTGCAGGATTGTCGGCCCTGGGCAACAGGACATGTGGTGGCCATCTACCCATCCAACCCGACTGATTCGCATTGCGTCCAGCAAAACGGTTGGCCGTTTGTCCCGCGCGACTGGAGACAAGTCGGTTGCCGCGACGAAGCCAGGACGAACCTGGATTTGCAGAATACGCCTCTGAGAAAACAAGCTTTCAAGATACTGCCCTGCCTGAGTACGATATCCCATCTGCCCAAAGAGGAAAGCAATCCTGCCCCCCGTGGAACAAATGACCGCACAACTCGAGGTCATCAGCATCCCATTCAAAGCCAGGGGCCCCGAGAGGGGACACCCCCTGGAGGTCATCTGCGGAGCCGTTGACCGCATCAGCGTTGTCCGTGCCAGGGGCCCCAGGAGGGGCCACCCCCTGGATCGCATCTGAGTCGAAGACGAGCTTCGTCACCCAGTCCTTGCCAGGGGTCCCAAGAGGGGCCGCCCCCTGGTGCGCCAGAGCACCAGGTGTCTCAGGAGGAGCCGCCCCCTGGAATACCTCTGGGTCGAAGTAGTGCGAATCATCCAAATCCTCGCCAATGGCCCCGATAGGGGCCGCCCCCTGAAATAAGCGCAGGCCCTTGATGTAGCTGCTAGGGGTCTCAGAAGGAGCCACCCCCTGGAATAACCTCTCACGCCGTCGATAAAGCCGCCGTGCCCGTAGTAGATCTGCCCGACGATCCCTCTTCATTGGCCTCCCTCTGCGTTGCGACCAGCCCAAGGCTGGACGGGAGCCAGAGTTGTGCCGAGGGTGGGCTTTCACGAAACACTCGGCAACGGGGCTCTTGGCTGTGAGTGTCTGTTCCAGGATGGCCTTGAGCTCCTTCTGCTTGTCCGTCGCAACTTGATCCACACTTTGCCAAGATGAAGGAGGCGCCGACCCCGTAGCTGCCCCTGCAGATTGAGATGCCGCTAGTGCTGCCGTCGAGTCTGCAGGTATTGCCGCTGCGGTAGGAGCTTCCGCTCCCGGCCCGCCACCTTCTTTACCTGTGCATGGGGCCACTGGCCCTGGCGACAGACTGCCCTTACGCTTCTTGGTCGCCTGCCAAGATCCCAATTCCTCAACCTTTGTCTGCTGCTGCTCGGCCAACGTTGCAACCATTTGACAGAACTGAGATGAGAGCGCGACCCTGAACTCGTCCTCGATGGATGTCTTCCGACGTCCAAACTCGATGCGATCTTGCTCCTCCAATTCAACGTCTTCGGAGAGACCACCAAAACTGAGCTTGAGTTCCGCGTTCTTGTCCAAAAACTCACGTACGTCCAACTTCCCCTGTTCTGGCCACCGAACAGGTTCTGGGGCAAATTCTTTGCCAACCGCTTCTTGCGAGACGATCGCCTCTGCTAGACTAGCCGCGTGCTCCTTGTACTGGTCCATGGCCGTGCCCAGCTCGTTATTCAATCGGAGAACACGCTTTGCAACCTTGTCCAGAGCAATTACAGCACGTTCAACTCTCTGTGAGGCCTCGGCCAGCCTGATGGACGGGGGCTTGGGAGGAGCCGCTGGTGTCTGTGCCAAAGTAGAGTGTAACATTCGAGCCTGCTCTGCTGCAGCGCCGCCCTTCGCGATGATGCACCCCAAAGAGGCTTCCACGTCCACGGGTACCTGTCCTCGCTGACCACCTTCACCAGGTGCAGGCCGTGGGCCGCTGGGGCGACCCTTGAGGTAGTTGCTGCAGTACTGGCAAGTGTAGTCGAACTTTTCGAGCTGGTCGTTGTAGCAGAACTTGCCGCACACCTTGCACCAAGTTGCGTCCCTACCCAACTTGGCATGGAGATGTTCTGGCTCGAGATATTGGTAGTTGGTTTCCATGGCTTGTTCGTGTCTGAGTTGCCGAATGTCCGTGGTGCACCTCCGAGAGCAGACCAAGCGTCACCAAGAGACGAGTTCGAGCCTGAGGTACCCAGTGATCTCCAAGGAGCCCATTGCTGCCATGAAGCCTTATACTGCTGTCTACCACCCTTTCCCATGGCTGCGCGCGCCGCGAGCAAAGAAGGGTGGGAAGTAGGATACCTGTGGTGATCCGGTTCCTCAAGATGGATGAAAGCTTGCTGCGGACTAGCAGCTTCCTTGCAGGCGCGGAGGCGCGGAGCCCCCTGTGTGCAGACATCTTGAGCCACAATGGCTACGGAGGGGAGGGGCAGGGGAGGAGGAGGACCAGGACGAGGAGGAGGAAGAGGAGGAGGAGGAGGAGGAGGGAGGGAGGACGAGGAGGAAGAGGAGGAGGAAGAGGAGGAGGAGGAGGAGGAGGAGGAGGAAGAGGAGGAGGAGGAGGAGGAGGAGGACGAGGAGGAAGAGGAGGAGGTGGAGGAAGAGGAGGAAGAGGAGGAGGACGAGGAGGAGGATGAGGAGGTGGAGGAAGGAGGAGGATTAGGTCTGGGCACCTTGCGACGCGCTCGGGGACGCGCCGCGCTCCGGGGTGCGCTGGGCTGGCGCGCCCCTGGGCACGGCCGCCGGCGTGCCTTCGGCGGGAGGCCAGAGTGAGGGGCCGGCCCTGTCTGCCTCCTCTCCTCCCTCCTCCTCCTCCTCCTCCTCCTCCTCCTCCTCCTCCTCCTCCTCCTCCTCCTCCTCCTCCTCCTCCTCCTCCTCCTCCCTCCTCCTCCTCCTCCTCCTCCTCCTCCTCTCCTCCTCCTCCTCCTCCTCCTCCTCATCATCATCATCATCCTCATCCTCATCCTCATCCTCCTCCTCCTCCTCCTCCTCCTCCTCCTCCTCCTCCTCCCTCCTCCTCCTCCTCCTCCTCCTCCTCCTCCCCCCCCACCAACCCCTCGAGTAGGAGATCGACGAAACAATGGATCGGCGACGAGCGTGGCCCTGCCGTGGCCCAGAGAGGCGAACACGAGGCAAGGCCAGCGGGATCGGCACCCTGTCTGCGGCAACGAGATCTATACAGATCCCTTGCCCCAGACTTGGCCAATCCTGGGCCCAGGCATGGTGTATGCATGCATCCCTGGCCAAGCCAGGACGGGCCAGGCCTGGGCAGTGGATATGTATAGACCTCGTCGCCGTATTATCCTCCACTGAGATCTGTTTTTTTCAGCTGCGAGCGGGAGGGAAGTGAGAAGGAGAAGGCCTTCTCAGAAGGCGGCGTGACTTCTCAGAAGCCCTCGCGCCTTCTGAGAGGCGCTCTGTGTCTTGGGGAATGCTTAGGAAACTTCTCGGAAGACCCTGGGACTTCCGAGCCTCCTGAGAAGGCCCGCCCCTTCTCACTTCCCCCCGGGCTCGCCGCCGAATTGAGTTACTTGAAATGTTCGTCGAATCTGCGAAATAGGACGTGCACTGCTCGCATATGTATATATATACACGAAGTATGTAAGTCATGTATTCGACGAACCTGTTTTTTTATTCTGGGGCAAGACGATTGCGCCATCGATATCCTACTCGAGCCCCGTTTCCAGGAGGTGGAGGCGGCCTTGCCCCGCGGGCGCACCGCGTCCGCGGCCGAGGGCATCGAGGAGGACGAGGCGGAGAGCCACGACATGCTGGAGCTGCTCACGGAGCGGCGCGGTCCCCGCCGGATCTGCGCCCTCGCTGTCTGGGCTCCGGGGCGCGATCCCGCGGGGGCGCGGTCGCACGGGCACGCTCCGCGCGCGGGCAGGCCGCGAACGGAGCGCCCCGTCTCTGCGAGGTCGTGGCCCAGGGGCCCAGCCCGCGAGGCCATGGATGCGGACATGTTTTCCGCGCAAGGCCCTCCCTGGAGAGACGTCGGATGGAGCCAGCGCGAGTCCCCGCCAGGCGAGTCGTGGGCCCAGGATGGGCCTGCACGGCTTTAACTTGGCAAAGCCAGGCTGGCGCACAGGCCACCGGACCTGGGCCTGGGGTGGGCCTGGCCAGAGTCGGGGTTGGTGTATGATTGGCGTTACTCGAGCAGCGGCCCGAAGAGGCTCCCACCTGGAGGTCTTCGGCATCGGGCAAGGGCGGTGGAGCCCAGCAGTTCGCGGGTGGAAGTTGGAAGGGCACGCGGAGAAGATTGATGATGATGAGGAAGAGGCTGAGCAGTACAAGTAGAAGAGGAAGGAGGAGGACGAAGGAGGAGAAGGAGGAGAAGGAGGAGAAACTTTCTCCCGCAACGTATAATCTCAGCGACACGACCACAACGATTTTTTTTTGGCCGAGTCGTTGCTCGTTGTCGTTTCCCTACCTGCTAGCTTCCGGCCGCGACTTGTCATAGTTCGTTGTCGTTGTTCTGATTAAGTATTCGCAGGGGTCACTCGTTCACCGCCTTCTACCTAGCATGTGTGTCCGCGATTCGCTTTCTGCGTCGTCGTTGGAGTAATGTGTACCCAGGCTCGCAGGGGCTTCGAGATATTCGTATGCATGTGGCACCACGTCGTCGCAAGTTCGAAATGTGGCCGTGTTGGCACTGCATGCTGCATGTGTTAAAATACGGAATGCCGGATGCAATTGTTCCTCCTTTCATGTTGGCCCCCCCTTACGTTTGATATTTCTCGCTCCATGGTGCATCGAGAAGCACATGAGAACGTCGTTCGCCACTCGCTTCCACATTCAATGCGATCCTACGCGTTGACAATGTACATCGCAGCATATTTTTCGCACTCATACTTGCTACGCATCGGGGGTGAGAAGATTGCCGTGCAATTCGCGTGCGCAGTCTGCTGCTGGCGCCGCAGGGGCGGTGGTGGCACGGTACACGTAGGGGAGAGACGGGGGTCAAACCCCATTGAAGAGTTTTGCACCCCTTCTGCCCTTCAGCACAGGGGCGGTGGTGGCAGAATACACGTAGGGGGGAGACGGGGGTCAAAACCCCATGAAGAGTTTTGCACCCCTTCTGCCCTTCAGCACAGAGGAGGTGGTGGCACGGTACACCTAGGGGAGAGACGGGGGTCAAAACCCCATTGAAGAGTGTTGCATCCCTTCTGCCCTTCAGCACAGGGGCGGTGGTGGCGCAGTACACGTAGGGGGGAGACGGGGGTCAAAACCCCACTTGAGCAGGCCGACAACTTTTCGTCTTGAGGCCCACATGACTCGTCCTCTCTCTCCCTCTCCGTCCTTCCTCCCTCATATCCCCCACGTCCGCGCCTGGTTTGTGTTTCCCTACTCGTCCCCGTGTGTTGTGTCTCTCGGTAGGGAAACCCCTCCCCCGTAGAAGCTTCCACTCCATAAAAATGGATCCAGAAGACACGGACATTGGATCCACGTGACTCTCGCACACACGTAATTGGATCCAAACGGATCCATGCGTCCCCATGCAAGAGGAACCAAATTTTCGGCCTGGGGATGCAGCATCGGGCTGACCCTTGCCAAAGCATTGCCCACCAAGGCCGAACTGTGGTTTTCGCTATGCTCTTGCACTGCTTGCAGTGCCCACAGACAAATCTGGCCAACCCCTGGAGCTGCTCAGCGAGTGTGCGCCACGACGCCTTCAAAGAGAGGTCGCGGCCGAGGCTGAGGACAACACAGTCGGCAAATAGAGCCGACGCGGAGCCATGCTCTGCCAACCTGTCGTGGCCAGCTTTGCGCCGGCTTTTATGTTTTGTACTCCTTGGCCTCGGCCTCGATCTTACTTGTACGCCCCCTCAGGCGGCTCCAACTCAAGTGGGCGTGCGCGAAGCTTCGGCCACAAAGTCTTGAACATGCGCACTTCCGGGACATGGTGGTGGATGTGGTGATGTCGGTGCTGTAACTAGTTGACGCCGACGCGGCTTGTTCTAGTTTTCGATGTCCTGACTTACTCATTGAGTTTTTGCCCGCCGCGGTCGTCGTTCACTTTCTTCGTCGACCGGCTGGGGGGAGGGCCCTTCATTGCCGGAAGAGTGGAGGGGCGAGGGAGGAGGAGGAGTAAGAACATCCTACCTCCTAGCTCCCACCTCCTAGCCCCTAGCCCATACCTCCTCCTCCTCTCCTCCTCCTCCTCCTCCTCTCCTCCTCCTCCTCCTCCTCCTCCTCCTCCTCCTCCCCCTCCCCCTCCCCCCCTCCTCCTTATCCGTCTCTCCTGTCCTCCCTCCGCCCTGGCCAGGGGAGGGGCTCACCCGCTCCCTGCCAGGGGAGGGGCTCATCCTCCTCCCCACCCCCTCCCTGCCAGGGGAGGGGCTCACCCGCCCCAGGGCCGCAGCAGGCACGGCCAGAGACCTGGGAGGGGGGCGGCTCCCCGCCCAGGCGCTCGCCGAGGGAAGCAGGCAGGGGCGAAAAGGCGCCAGGCCCGCCCTGAGCGAGGGGGCCCTGGGGGCCCTGGGGGGTGCTCCAGGGACCTGGCATCGCTCCGACGTGTGCGCTTGTTTCTTTCCTCGGCGAGGACCATCGAGGAGCCTCGTGGACCCTCGGGCCAAACACACACGCAGGGGGAGGAGGAGGAGGAGGAGGAGGAGGAGGAGGAGGAGGTGAGGAGGAGGAGGAGGAGAAGGAGGAGGAGGAGGAGGAGGAGGAGGAGGAGGACCGAGACAGGCGCACGGGAGAGGGACGTCCGAGCGACGGCAAGGCGAGGGGCGGGTCCCCGGGAGCTGCGGCAGGCCCGGGGGCGGAACTGGAGAGCGACGAGCGGGCCGCGGGTCCCGCGCGGGTCCCGCAGGCCGCGGGCCTCGGAGGCTGCGGGGGGCGCTCCGGGGAGAGGCGGGCCCTCCGGCGGGTGGAGCCGGGGGATGCCGCAGGGGTGTCCTTGCGCCAGGGAGCCCCTCGGATGCCCGGAGCCTCCTGAGCGCCGCGGTGCGCGGCAGGCCTGCACGGTCTGCGGCAACACATTGGCGCAAGTATGGCGTGTCGCGCCGCTGGTTTGGGCCCAACACGCTCCGCCGCAACACGCTATCCACGTCCTCATTCCCAGGCACTAGCGTGTCTGTGGCCATCTAAGCTCAAGTCGTTTTGGTGCGACCTTCTCTCATATCGAGGGCGCCTACGGCGAATCACCGCCGCCCCCTGCCTTTTTGGAAGCGCCTATGTGACCGAACGTTGAGGCCGGACCTGCCAAGCTATCGGACCATGTGTTCCCCGAATCGGTTTGGACAGCCTTCGGGGAACACGTGGGCATCTTGAAGGTCGTCTTGAAGGTCATCTTGGCCGCCTGGAGGCCATTTTGATCCTTTCGAGCCTTCTTGGAGGACGTCTTGGAGAGCTCTTGGGCCGTCTTGGAGGCCATCTTGAGCGTCTTGGAGGCCTCTTGGGCCGTCTTGGGGGCCTCTTGGGGCCGTCTTGGGCCTCTTGGGCGATCTTTGGGGGCACTTGGGCCGTCTCGGGCCGTCGGAAGGCCGAAAAAAAAAAACAGATGCCACCAACCTTCAAAAACTCATGGGAAATCAACGAGTTTGGCCCTTTCGGGCCTTCCCGGAGGCCCTCTTGGAGGCCTCTTGGGCCGTCTTGGGCCATCTCAGTGCCATCTTCGGCCGTCTTGGTGGGCCCCTGGCCCGTCCGACGCCGTCGGAAGCCGTTTGGGGGGCCTCTCTGAGCCGACTTGGGGCCCTGTTGGAATGCTCCAGGGCCGTCGTAGAGGACGTCGTAAAAGCCTCCTGGGCCGTCTTGGGGGCCTCTTGGGGCCGTCTTGGGGGCCTCTTGGGCCGTTTTGGGGCCATCTTAGAGGCATCTTGGGCGATCATTGGGCGACCTTTGGGGCTCTTGGGCCGTCTCGGGCCGTCTGAAGACCGAAAAGAAGCAAATGTCATGATATTTCAAAAACCTTAAGAAATCAATGTTTTTGGTCTCTTCTGGTCTTCCTGGAGGCCCTCTTGGAGGCCTCTTGGGCCGTCTGGGGCTGGCCTAGAGCCAACTTCGGCCATCTTGGTGGGCCCCTGACCCGTCCGACGCCGTCGGAAGCCGTTTGGGGGGCCTCTTTGGGCCACTTGGAGCCTTCTTGGGGTGCTCCAGGGCCGTCTTAGAGGCCATCTTGGGCATCTTGGAGGCCTCCTGGGCTGTCTTGGGGGCCTCTTGGGGCCGTCTTGGGGGCCTCTTGGGCCGTCATGAGGCCATCTTGGAGGCCTTGTGGGCGATCTTGGGGGCCTCTTGGGCCGTCTTGAGCCGCCGGAATGCCGAGAAGCAAATGCCAAAATCCTTGAAAAACCTATGGAAGAACAATGATTTTGGCCTCTTCGGGCCCTCCTGGATGACCCTTTTGAGGCCTCTTGGGTCGTCTTGGGCCGTCTTGAAGGCTTCTCGGGCGACCTTGGAGGTATCTTGGACTCTCTGGGGCGGTCTTGGAGGCCGTCTTGGACCATCTTGGGCGAACTTGGAGGCCATCTTGGAGGCCATCTTGGGCCAACGTGGCCATCTTGGAGGCCATCTTGAGCTGTCTTGGAGGATTGTTGTCCGGATTGGGAACATTCCTGGTGGCCAGCCAGACGCGCCGGAGCCCCAGGGGGAGTTCTTTTGGAAAAGAACCAAAACCAACAACGATCGAATTCTTCACGCTTCGCGTATCCCCACCAGCCCATCTCAAAACAGCAACTCTAGCGAAGCATGCCGACAGTCGTGTTTTTCAGGCGTGTTTCCGCCTGCCCCCGCATATCTCCCCTGTTTCTCCTTCCTCCCGCCTCCTTGTACATCCTCCTTGTGG